CATTGGTTAATAGAATGGGATTAAATACATAAAGCATATTTGTGTTGTTTAGCATTTAATTATTGCAGGTTTGCGTCATATTCTGAGTTGCATGATTTTTATTCATTTTGAGGAATGCTGAATCTGTGTTGTGTGTGAGTGAGATGAATTAATGCGTATTCATATTTATTTTAGAGCTACAGTAACATCTGATTTCTGTCACCATGGCGACACCAGAGCTGTCAATCAATACATTGATGAGAAAAAAAAAAAAGTAACTTGCGTTACTTATTTGAAAAAGTAACTCCGATATTCTCTTGTAAATTAAAAAGTAATGCGTTACTTTACTAGTTACTTGAAAAAAGTAATCTGATTACGTAACCCGCGTTACTCCCAACACTGCGCACGAGTAACAGGCAGACATGGGGAAGGTTTTGAAAGCTTAATTAAGGCACTGAAGGTGTTCTTACTTATCCCAGGCATCCAGCGGGTCTCCTCCAGCATAGCTGCGCACGCTCAGCTCGAAGGCCCTGCGGTGGGGACCAGTGAAAGCAGATGATGAGCGGGTCAGCCTCTCAGACTAGCTTCCAGCACGATAGCAACACGCACACTACCACAACCCTTACAGTGAGATACATACAGTGTTCGTAGCATTATTTATCCACTGGCCAGACCTGGTTTACTGTATTTCTCCAGAGTAAACATCATCTAATAAACCCCTACACAGTAAACATCTGAACACTAAGCGAAGCAGCAGCTCTCATACTGTACAAGTGAGCTAGAAAAACGAGCAGTTCTGTTACAGAGAATAAAAACATCACGGAAATCATGCGAGAAGAACAATAAACGAAGTGAACATAAACATTATCCGGACGAATGCGCTCCCTGATGCATGCTAACATGCTACTCACTGAAAATAATAGTTAATGTCCATCGTTTCTTCTTGTTGAACGCAAAAGGTCCGAGGGTGAATGTTTACGGTTAAACTAGACTCATTTAAAACTCTTTGGTACAACTATTAATGCCTTAAAAGCTGCAGATATGTTGACTGTTTTGACCGCTGACTAGCCCCGCTGAGGTAACTGTGTATTTGCAACGACAAACTGTTTTCAAATTTACCGCTTAGCCAATCATTACCCTTCATGAGGCTCAAAGGCCAATCAGAGTCCGACACAACCCCGCGTCACGTTTACCGCCCTTCGCGCCCCGCCCCCGTGCTCGGGTTGGCTAAGAGCTTCGTGTAAACGGCCTGCGATTGGACAGATAAGGCGTCAATCATAAAGTGCGAACAACACAGAGTGAAACTAGTAAACAGAAGGAGGAACAGCAGCAGCACAGCCGCGTTAACATTGCAGGACAAGCAGGTAGGCGAACTTTTTATACTCAGAAATGAAAATTTCGACCAGTAAACTTGTTTCCCCCCCGATTTATTTAAAGACATAAAACATTATTTAGATACACTTGATCACTTTCTGTAAAAACACTCTGAATTCATAATCCCTGCACTTGACAATTGCTGTTTATACTAAGCTGATGGATGAATGCATGAATGAACAAATCAAGAGAGACATGCTCGATGCTAAAAAGAGTTATTAATGAGCAATAAGCATGAAAACCTCGCACATGAAGCCGCCTGTCATGTCAGGGTGCTGAGCTGAGCTCTCTTGTCCAAGCTTATTTCACTACAGTGGTCAAATACACACGAAAGGATGTCAAACATAATGAATGAAAACAGCTGGGAGCAAATCAGATGTGTATAAATGCATTGGTCTTGACAGCAGCCTAATAAACCTGCTGCTGTCGGTGTCCTTAAAGAAGAACAGCACATCACTCTCTGCTTCTGACTGAATAACTTCAGAAGCTTTAATAAAAGTGATGCAGTTGCTGAATAATCAGATGCAAAAATAAAATGGTGCTGCATGAATTAAATAGGCTACACACACACATTTTTTTTTAAAGCTACTGAAGTTATTCAGTCAAACTCAGCAGCAGGTTTAAAGGGCTGCAGTCCGTTTACACGGGACCTATTATGCCAATTTCACTTTTATATTGTTTTTAACATAGTTATGTGTTCGCGGTGTGTACACAACCACCCTATTATGGTGAAAATGGTTATTTTCTCCATAAATCAACAGTTGCTGCATCCCAATTCTATACGATCCATGCTATATTTGCAATTAGTGTCCCAGATCGTAGTATGTTGAAATGAGTATCCAAAAGGTTCCCAGATGGTTTACTAATTCCAGTGTAAATGTGAAGTGCAGATCTGTGCACACGCTAACAGCTAACATTGCCCACAACTAACTGATTCAGTCAGAACTACAAACACCAATAAAAGGTGTTGAAGAACTACAAACATGGCGGATATGCAAGACTGCCGGTTAAGTAGCCTAGAGATTTCAGTGATTAACAATCAATATCTATCTTACCTGATGAAAAGACATATTTATTTAATGTTATCTGCATTGGTCTTTGGTTATAAAAGCTGAAGCTTCTGGACAGTGCTCCTCACTTTTCTCACAGCCGTGTGAAGGGACTGAGAAGTGTCTGAGAAATAATCTAACAGCTGCTAAAGTGATTCAGGCGAGAGCAGTGAGGGATTTTCTCTTGGTCTTCTGTTGTTTGACTCACATTTACAGCACAGACAGCACAGCACTTTAATTCACAGACACACTTGCGATTTCTTTCCCAGCTGTTTACATTCACATACATAACCGGCTGTGTTTATGTGAACTTTATGTGGTTTTGATATAACCTCCTTGTGTGTATTTGACAGTTTAAGGGCAATAGGACAGGAATAAGTCATCTCCGTTTAGTACTCACATGACACGCGCCGTGCGTAGTTTACCTGAACAATGCACAAAACTTGGCGTCTGGTGTGGAGTTGTCGAAACTAATTAATTTCTTCATGTATAAACTGATTAGTTGGGTCAATTTGGAGGACAAATGCGTAAACTTCACCAAAACCACATTACAAAAGAATCAAAGAACCATGTAAAACCCATTAAACCTTGAAATTATTGTTTGTATATGTGACCCTGCAGCACAAAAGCAGTGTTGAGTCTCTGGGGGATATTTGTAGCAATAGCCAACAATACATTGTATGGGTCAAAATTATACATTTCTCTTTTATGCCAAAAATCATTAGGATATTAAGTAAAGATCATGTTCCTTGAAGATATTTTGTACATTTCCTACTGTAAATATATCAGAACTTAATGTTTGATTAGTAATATGCATTGCTAAGAACTTCATTTGGACAACTTTAAAGATGATTTTCTCAATATTTAGATTTTGTTGCACCCTCAGATTCCAGATTTTCTAATATTGTCCGATCCTAACAAACCATACATCAATGGAGAGCTTATTTATTCAGCTTTCAGATGGTGTATGAATCTCAATTTTGAAAAATTGACCCTTATGACTGGTTTTGTGCTCCAGGGTCACATATGTATTACATAAGTGTAAAATGAAATTAATCAAAAATCTCTTAAATGTTTTTTTCTAATTTCCTTGATTTATATTTTTTTTAAACATGGACCTTTACTTTCAATAAAAATGCTTATTTCTGCTATTGTAAGTTCACAATGTAAGCTATTCATTTAAATTTTAGTCAAGCACAAATGTTTTACTAAATTGTGGCCACGTTTTTAGTTGAATCAAATCAAGCTAACAAACCTTTATATCGTGCCCACTATTTACTCAATACGAGGAAACGAGATAGTAAGTTGTGCTCAAGCTTTAGGCCTAGGCTGTTTTTTTTCCTGCATGTCATTTGTGGGGCTCCGTGCATAAGCCACGTTCAGCGTAAAATATCCACTTCGATTACAATGCTATTGTCTTAGAAGTATAGTGTTTATGACAAGTGAAACGTGAGAAGAAACCCTGATCTTCCCTGGCTGTTTGAGAACATTAAGCCACGTTAAGTGTTTTTCACACGCTTTTCCACTCCACTGCAGTGTCTCGAGTGCTCAAGTCAGAAGACGTTTAAAAGTTTAAAAAAGAAACTTCCACTTTCAAATTCCACTGCCGAATCTTGTTCTGTGTGATTTGTGAAAAACATGTTCTGTGTGATTTGGGAATTAGAATGTCCTGCCTGAGGGGGCGTTAAAGGAGAAGTTCACTTTACTCATCCAAGATGTTTGTGTCTTTCTGTCTTCAGTCGCAAAGAAATGAAGGTTTTTGAGACCCTTATTTCTCGGCTGGGATCAGTGTTGGGTATAACGCGTTACTAAGTAACTGAATCCACTGAAAAAGTAAAGTAAGAGACTACTGTTCATTTTTAGGTAATTTAATTACAGGTACTTATAAAGTACTTGCGTTACATACTGTAAGTAATTTCAACAGTTCTAAAATCAATATTGAATTGAAATAAAATAAAGATAAAATTGAATGCAGCGTCTTTAACCCTCTGCGCGGCGGCGCGTTTACTTTCAGTTTTTCCTGATTCACAGAGAAACATTAAATACTCCGATACAGATAAGACTAAAATCAATCGAATCTAAAAAGGGCCTACTTTTATTTGTGTACACTGACAATAACAACAAAACATTGTGCTTTTGTAAAATAAACAAAACAAACAGGGTGCGCTTTCTGCCGTCTCGGTCTCCGTGAGCAACTTTCTACGCATCACAAACTCAGCGAATACTTGAAACAGAGACATGCGAAAGATGTCTATAGAAAGCTTGAAGTGTCTACTTTTAAATGAACGAATTCAAATCGAAAGCGAATATTCTCTGATTATGTCATCCGTATGAAACTAAAGCGAGGTACAGTCTTTCCCGTATATGAGCTCATTATATGCAGTCGCCTGCACGCAAACGCCCTCACCTAGATACAAAAAATAGATTAAAAAAAATCAAGATTCATCTAGTTTTAATCGTTTTTGAAAGAAGACCTGCTATGAGGAATAAGCCGGAATTTACCTCAGAAGAACAGCGCGATCTGACGCAGCTTTATTCAGCGGAGGAGATCATTTCTGTAATTTTTTTACTAGTTTTTTACTATTTGGGCTTTACCTGAACATCTTGCCAAACTGAAATGTTGTTTAACTTTTCTTAAGCTTTTTTTGTTATTCAGATATTTTGCAGAGTATTTCTATTTGTTAACCAAAGAAGCTTACATTTTTTATAAAAATGTTTAAGTATTACAGTTGTTTTAAAGCTAAAAGGCTAAATTATTCCATGTTTGACTCCAATTGAAAGAATAAAGAGTGTAATTTCTATTGCTTTAAGCTTTAATAGGATTTTAAAATGCAGCCTAATTAGCGATTTGAATAAGTTACTTATTGAGTAACTAAATTACTTTTCAGACAGAGTAATTAATAAAGTAATTTAAATACAATATTGATGATGTAATTAGTAATAGTAATTAATAACTTTTGAAAGTAACTTACCCAACACTGACTGGGATCGTGTAGAGTCCTTTGAAGCTGCAGAAAGAAAGACATGAACATCTCGGATGACAGAGGGATGAGTAAATTATTAGGAAATTTTTATTCTGGAAGTACACTAATCCTTTAAGGGCACCTATTATGCCCCTTTCTACAATATGTAATAAGTCTCTGGTGTCCCCAGAATGTGTCTGTGAAGTCTCAGCTCAAAATACTCCACAGATCATTTATTATATCATTTTGAAAATGCCTATTTTGAGTGGAAGCAGAAACACGCTGTTTTCGTGCCTGTCTCTTTAAATGCAAATGAGATGCTACTCCCCGCCCCCTTTTCCAGAATAGGGCGGAGCCTTTACAGATCACACCTCAGATGCTCTGCCAAAAAGCATCCGCTTGGTTTTGATTATCGTTTCTATGGTGCTGAAATCATGCGTTTTACAGCCATATCGGTTTAAACTTCTGATAAAGTGTTTTCTGAGCGCACAGAAAGCGGCTGTCTGTCACACGGCATGAGCACTAAACTAAGCTCTCTTTCATGTCTTATTGCGCTTAAACTTTCAAATACACAAAAGTTTGTTAAAAACACGAGTTACAAAAACACAGTGGGTTATGTCTGTGAAGGTAAACAGCTGTATTAGATCTGTGTAGCAGAAGCGTAATATACAGTACCTACTGCTGTCTACGCTGTTAATATGAGCCAAACAATGAATAAAAACAGAAAATCACTCACTGCTCTTGACCGAATAACTTCTATAGCTTTAGTAAGAAGACATTTCAGATAAACATGGCGGATTGTGTGAGGCTCACTCAGGGCGGGGTCAGTCAGCGGCCGTGGGCGGGGCCTAAACATTGTGACATGGCTTACTACTGGCCTAGCATGAGTAATGCAACGCTTTTAGTCGTTTTCGCTGATCTGTGTGAACGAACGGTGATCGATTTGAAAACGCTGTCGTACACAAAAATGCAAAACTTTTCAAGAACACAAAGGAAAAACCGTTTTTAAGTACAATTGTTGTGTAAATGCACCCTTTTGTTACATCTTCATGTCAAGACACAGTAGCAATGTTTATTGTCTAGATATTAGTGTTTCTGTTCATCTTTAGCGTCAACAATACTGCTCAGAAGATTTTTTTAAAGAATTGTAATACTTTTATTCAAGGATGCATTAAAGTATTCAGAAGTGACAGTAAAGACATTTATAATGTTACAAAAGACTTCTATTTCAAGTAAATGCTGTTCTTCTGAACTTTCTATTCATCTGTGAATCCTGAAAAATAAAAAGCATCATAGTTTCCACAAAAATATTGTGCAGCACAACTCAACATTGATAATAATCAGAAATGTTTCTTGAGCAGCAAATCAGGATATTATACTGATTTCTGAAGATCATGTGACACTGAAGACTGGAGGAATGATGCTGAAAATACAGCTGCGCATCACAGAAATACATTACAGTTTAACAGAGATTCACATAGAACACAGCTGTTTTAAACTAATAATATTTCACAATATTACTGTTTTTACTGTATTTTGATCTAAATAATGCAGTCTTAGTGAGCAGAAGAGACGTCTTTCAGAAATATTAGGGTTTATGTTTGGTGAGTGACTGCGTTGTCATTTTTTGATTAAATGAAGAGAAAATCAAGTTAAGAGTGAAGCCGTTTATGATGCCAGTATTCATATGATTTAGTAGCTTGTGTTCTGAATGCTCTTGTGTTTCCATTTGAAGCAGTTCATAAAATGATGCAACCAAAGGAGAAATATGAAGATATAACAGAGCCATGTGGAGTGAAATCTGAAGGTAAGTGACGGATCAGACCTGGACTAATGTCTGTTTACAACTGGATTCTGGAACTCATGTTGCTCGCTCAGTATAACCAGATGAGTATAAACTAAAGTGAGTTTATTTAGTGTACCATTCGTTCATAATATGTGAGCCTGCAGCACAAAAGCAGTGTTAAGTCGCTGGGGTATATTTGTAGCAATAGCCAACAATACATTGTATGGGTCAAAATTATACATTTCTCTTTTATGCCAAAAATCATTAGGATATTAAGTAAAGATCATGTTCCATGAAGATATTTTGTACATTTCCTACCGTAAATATATCAAAACTTAATGTTTGATTAGTAATATGCATTGCTAAGAACTTCATTTGGACAACTTTAAAGATGATTTTCTCAATATTTAGATTTTTTTGCACCCTCAGATTCCAGATTTTCAAATAGTTGTATCTCAGCCAAATATTGAAAAATGGACCCTTATGACTGGTTTTGTGCTCCAGGGTCACATATGTACTTTTTAACATTTATCAGCAATAAAACATTTACATTGTACTTGTAGAAGTTCTCACCATGATTCATGAAGATGAAGAGGAGGAAAAGACGAGAGGAGCAACACTGGGAAAGAGTTCAGCACACAAGCTTCACTATTGCTCCGAGTGTGGGAAGAGCTTCAGCGTGAGAGCGCGCTTCAGACGACACATGCACATACACACCGGAGACAAGCCCTACCGCTGCTCACACTGCCACATGTGCTTCACGTCTCAGGAGAACCTGTCCGAGCACGCACAGAAACACTCCAGCCAGAGACCCCACCGCTGCTCGCAGTGCGGCAAGGGCTTCTTCAGACCGGGGAGACTTGAAGTCCACTGGAGGATCCACACTGGAGAAAAGCCCCATCACTGTGCTCAGTGCAAGAAGAGCTTCAAGAGCGCAGATGAGCTGCAGCGGCACGCACTCGTACACACGGCAGAGAAGCACCACCACTGCTGTCAGTGCGAGAGGAGCTTCAGGAGGAGCGGTCAGCTGCGCAGACACATGCGCACACACACCGGCGAGAAACCCTACGGCTGTGTGCAGTGTGAGAGGAGCTTCTCACGGCCTGAGCACCTCAGGGACCATCAGCTCAGAGCTCACCGACACCAGACGCATCAGCCCGCTTGATGTCCAGCTTTACCTCTGCTTTCAGACTCCCCCAAAACACCAGCGCTGGCTTCACTTCCAGTCGGTACATGCGAAGAGAACAATACAAATCTATCAAAAACTCTTACTGCTTTATTCTTTTGTGTTTATGGGGGTATAATTGCATGAGTGAAAAAAAGAGATTCATCTGATTTGGGTTGCCTACTGATATAATAAATGACTTAATTAGTAGTAATGGAGGATCATTTTTATTTTGAGAAATAATGGTTTTCCTTATTCATTTGCATGAATAAGAATACTTTTATTAGGAAAGGACATGTAATCCAGCCGATCCTAATGGTCAATCATTTGGTACATCTATAGATTTCTATAAAACTGATTAAAAACTATAACGAAAGCATAAGATCAGGTTGAAAGAATTTCCAAAGGAATACCCTTAGCATACTTTTAAAGAGCTTTTATTACAATATATATTGTGTATATATATACGTATATAGGCCTATAGGTAACACTTTATTTTAAGGTGTCCTTGTTACACGATACATGTACTTACTATTATAATAACAATTAATTATGCATAATTACATGCAAGTAACCCTAAGCCAAATCCTAACCCTAACCATATAGTAAGTAGATGTAGTTCATTAATATTACTCAGTACTTATATGTATAATTACACTGTGATAAGGACACCTTAAAATAAAGTGTAACGTATATATATATATTGACTTATTGTATTTGCATTATAAAAACAGAGGATCATTTTTATTTTGATAAAAAATATATATTTTTTAATTCATTGGCAGGAATAAGAATAGTTTATTTTGAAGTGACATTGCATGTGTAAGTGTGTGTTTGTCTGACTCCACACCAGACCTCTTGCATATAAATTGCAATTAAATATATTATAGTTTAAGTTAAAATAAAAATATATTAAATGCAGTTAGCTGAAGTTTAGATTGTTTTTGACCCACTTAAGTAAGACTTCAGGACATCTTTTTCATTATTACTCCTGTTGTCTTTGAAATGTGGTTAAAGTGTTGCTGCTGATTGTACTGACACGCATTTATGCTGAACTAAATACTTTATTCATTAATGAATGTCATTGAAGTAGAAATATATGGCATGTAGTATTCACACATCTGTAATGATAAAGTTGCCTTTTCAAATATATTGCAATATCAAATAACACACTGTAGTTAAAATTACAATCAAGTTCTTCACATGTGCTTGAGTATGTTATTAGTGAAGCAGACAGAACTAAAACCTAATGATTTAAAGTGTACTTTAAAGTAAAACTGAATTTGACATTTGTGCACACTTATTTAAGTGTGTTCATAGTCATGAAAGTTTCTCTCTTTAAGTACACTTAAGTGCCTGTATTTCATTCATATTATGTGCGAGTAGATTTATTTATTTATGTATTTATCTGAAGTGGCTGTACTACTTGTGAAAACACTACTAAAGCGAATTTAAAACACTCTAAATATGGTTAATAATTGGGGGAATTGAATAAATAATATAAATCACATTTTAACTGTATCATAAAAATGAGAGTTATATATATATACATAAATAATGTAGATTTATTCATTGAGGTACAGTTGAAACAGTCTATGGTTGAGCCATCGGCCTACACACAAGCAGACTTTTATTTTGAAATGTCGCCGGTGTGTCGCTCGTGACGCTAGCTTGCGCTCGTCTTCAGTCGTGTTGGAAACAGAAATGCGGACAGACGTCCTGATCAGAAGACAGAAGATCGATTGCTATCAACACTGATTAACCGACAGAGATCAATGATGGCGAGCGGTAAGTGAGCGCTACTGTAGGACACGAATCAAGTGTCGTGCTGCTGGTAGTTGACGTGACGGATCAGTGCAGTGATGTTGCTGCTGCTGCTGTGTCTCAGAGTCCGTGAGTGTGCTCTTCAAGATCTACTGCCTGGCTGTCATGACCCTGATCGCTGCCGCATACACGGTGGCTCTCAGATACACCAGGACCGTGTCCTCGAGCCTGTACTTCTCCACCACCGCCGTGTGCCTGACGGAGCTCATCAAGCTGCTGCTGAGCCTGGGGATGCTGCTCAGGTGTGTGTGTGTGTGTGTGTGTGTGTGTGTGTGTGTGTCTGTCTGTCTGTCAGAGTAAAGTGCGGTGAGTGTGCTCTGTCCTCCTCACGTCTGCTGTGATGCTGTGTGACACAGGGAGACGGGAGACTTGGGCCGGTTCAGAAGCGCAGTGGTCAGCCACATTTTCAAGAGTCCCAAGGAGCTGCTGAAGCTGAGCGTGCCGTCGGTCGTCTACGCCATCCAGAACAACATGGCCTTCGTGGCCTTAAGCAACCTGGATGCCGCTGTCTACCAGGTATTATGAACACAATGACCTCCGTGCTTCCAGAAATACAAAGTCTGTCATCATGTCCTTGCTGTTGTTCAAAACTGTTTCAGTTGAACACAAAATTAGACATTTAGGAAGAACTTTCATGCAGCTCTCGCTGTAACAGCAGTTTGTAGTTACCCAGTATAAAGGGAGGCAGTGTCTCCTCAAAATCATAGTTCAAAATTAAAACAATGCAAATATTACAAAGTATGGCATTGAAAAGTGTATAAATCACTCGTTTTGTAACCAGCAGGTAAAGTAACAGCGGGAGTCCACATCTCTCTTGCCTCCCCTGAGCCCGTTGAGTTTTAACAGACCAACTAAAGTGTTTGGTGGGGGGTAATTGAGAATGAATGGGGGATATGATTGATCGCGATATGACTGGTTCATGCAATAAAACCCACCTCTTATGTTTATGCGCGATCGCAAATTAGTCTGAATGAACAATATAATGGCATTAATGTGAAGACTTTAAAAAAAGTAAGTAAACAACTCACACACTTCGATATAACCACTTTGTTACGTCAAAATAAGCCTTGAAATGGCCTGAAAACATGATCTATGGGAGTTTTTAGTGAGTAATCAGCTTGGTGAAATTTTAAGTAAATCTCTGTGTCTGTGACCAATATTCACCGAGCTTTGATGACTGATTTCACGAATAATTCTAAAATAGTTAAAAGTTAACTATTAAAAAAAATAGCTGGACATATGTCCTCACAAACTATGTAGCTATACACAGTGCTTAACAAATGTATTAGACCATGTCAAAAACTTGTTTAAAACTAAACATTTTATTGTCATTTATTAGGCAAATAACAAACTGAAGCAACCAGATAGCTGGAAAAGTGATTCCATCGATATCGTTCCTCGTGTTGATATTGTTGGTCTTCAAAACCTTTCATCAGTACACTCTGAAGTGACTTTGCTTTTCAGCTCACGGCGTAAATGTCTTATTTGTCACACAGCTGTCAGTCATATGGAATCTCGCCCTACCTGTTTTTCTCGTTGAATATTTAGTTTGAATCAGAAATGTGTCAGGTTATGGGAGAATAGCATTTCATGTTGACAAACACATTTTACATTTGAATAAATCCTTTCTGCTGGCTTTACCTGATTGAGAATGGGGGAAAGGTGAGTTTTCCTTGCCAGTCAAAGGAAGAAAAGCAAGCAAATGCTGCAGACTGACGCTGTTTGTGTGTCAGGTGACGTATCAGCTGAAGATCCCCTGTACAGCCCTGTGTACAGTGCTGATGCTCGGCCGCTCTCTGAGCCGGCTGCAGTGGTTTTCAGTCTTCATGCTGTGTGGAGGAGTCACACTGGTGCAGTGGATGCCGCCGCAGTCCACCAGAGTCCAGGTACGATCAACACTCGCCACATATGAGCTGATTTATTGACTGCTTGAAGTCAGTAGCGTCTAGATTGGAGCCTCAAGAGTGTTATATACTACCAGTCAAAAGTTAAGAATAAAGTTTTTTTAATGTGTTTGAAAGAAGTCTGTTCTGCTCACCAAGGCTGCTTTTATTTGATCAAAAATACAGTGAAATAAAGTAATATATTCCTGTGATCAAAGCTGAATTTTCAGCATCATTACCCCAGTCTTCAGCGTCACATGATCCAATAACGCACAGCCTGAATTTTCCAAAAATCCACATTCAAACCAAAATAGCTGGCTTAATGTTGGTCGTAGCTAATGACTGTACATTAGAAAGTTGTCCGGCTTGATGAGAGCAATATATGTACAGAGTTTGGTGTCTGTAGCTAAAACTACCCCACCCCCCACTTTAGTCAAAAGGTGGCGCTATAGAGCGCCTGCTCCACACTCATTTCTGAGCTCTTGCCAGTGTCTAACTATCATTAGCATAAACCCAGGCTACGCACTGCTGGTTTCAGCACAAGCAGCTGTGGCATTCACTGACCGCAAGTTATTTTGGTGACAACAACCCAGCAAAATAAAAGCTTGCTGATTTTAGGTTTGAAAATGTTGAAAATTCATATAAAAAAAATAAAATTGAATTAAATAAATAGATGAGAGCAATATATGTACAGAGTTTGGTGTCTGTAGCTAAAACTACCCCACCCCCCACTTTAGTCAAAAGGTGGCGCTATAGAGAAAAAAAAAATATATATATATATATATAAAATTAACTAAATAAAGGATAGTTATATTTAATGAGTCATGCTATGTGCAGTGTGAGCACCAAACGAAATCTCCAGGTGCTCCCATGAGAACCAGACTGAAAAACGTATGTGCACCGCTGATCATTAATGCCGATGTGTGTCGATTTTCATGAAACTCTAAGCATGTTAAGTGCCTCAAAAACACTGCAAAAGAATATTAAAGTTTGACGCATTGCCATGGCAACAGTATGTAAGATATCAAGAATCCCTTCACAGTTTTACATCGGCCATGTCTTGACATTATTCTCATGAGTTTGAAGTAAATTAAGAAAAAGTATAGTCTGATTTCAAAGCATTTTGAAAATGACACACTTCCTGCTGCCAGTTGGTGGCGCTATAACTTTGACTCCTAATAGTCACATCTGTGTGATTGGCCTCATGCAACGAAAGTGCTGAAGTTTGATCAAAATCAGACTGAATACTGTATGCTGAAGTTATAACACTTCATGTTTCCCTTTTTTGCCATAATTTTGTCATCTCGCCACAGCTAAACCGTTCGAGTTATCAAAAATCCCTTCACAATTTAACATCTCAAGTATCTTGAGATCATGTTGTCCGAGTTTGGTGGCGATCGGATGAAAACCCTAGGATGAGTATATCAAATTCCACAGCATGCGTTTTTCACAAAACCCTGAATAGCTGACTTCCTGTTGGGCGGAGCCTATGACATGCAGTGCGAAAGTTGTTGGGGCTGATGAGCTCTACATGTGTATGAATTTTGGTGACTGTAGGTCAAATGGTGTGCCATGGGTCCCCCCTCCCATTATCCCCCTAAAAGCCCCCAATAATATTTCACAGTATTATTGTTTTTACTGTATTTTTGATCAAGTCAATGCAGCCTTGGTGAGGAGAAGAGCATCTTAATTTTTGACCAGTAGTGTCGATGTATAATGTCGGCTGTCCTAAAGTGTTTGATCTGTGGCTGAAATGAGGACATCTCTCTGTGCTTCAGGTGGAGCAGAACCCGTTCCTGGGCTTCATGGCGATCGCCGTGGCGGTGCTCTGCTCTGGGTTTGCAGGTACCATATGTTCAGTCATGTTTTTGGTGGTTTCTCATACGGAGCATTAGTGACTCCCTGTTTTGGATCAGGTGTGTACTTCGAGAAGGTCCTGAAGAGTTCAGACACGTCTCTGTGGGTGCGAAACATCCAGATGTACCTGTCAGGAATCGTGGTGACCCTCATAGGTGTCTTCATGACAGACGGTGCTCAAGTCTTGGAGAAAGGCTTCTTCTATGGATACACGCCATGGGTCTGCTTAGTCATCTGTGAGTAACGTCTGCATGACCTTTATTTCCACTGTGAAGTCGTGTGCATTTGGAGGATACGGCTCACTGAACAGGAACGTCCTGTCCGTTTAAACGGACTCCAGCGGGCGTCACACCTCTCATTGTAAACGCAAAGCTCCTAAATGCCAATGAAGCGGTTTGACGGGTTTCTCTCTCTGCTTTCTGCCTGCAGTTTTGGCCAGCGTGGGAGGAATGTACACGTCTGTGGTGGTGAAATACACCGATAACATCATGAAGGGCTTCTCTGCGGCCGCTGCCATCGTCCTGTCCACCGTGGCGTCCGTCGTTCTCTTCGGCCTGCAGATCAGTGAGTGCATCGTTCAGTCATGTCGTCTTCTGTTCAGGTGGCAGCTGGTCTGCTGGCGTATATACAGTGCTGCTTGAAAGTCTGTGAAAGCCTTCACAATTTTCTATATTTCTGCATAAATGTGACCCTGGAGCCCAAAACCAGTCAAAAGGGTCAATTTTTCGAAATTGAGATTTATACATCATCTGGAAGCTGAATAAACAACAAGCTTTCCATTGATGTATGGTTTGTTAGGATCGGACAATATTTGGCCGAGATACAACTATTTGAAAATCTGGAATCTGAGGGTGCAAAAAAATCTAAATATTGAGAAAATCATCTTTAAAGTTGTTCAAATGAAGTTCTTAGCAAGGCATATTACTAACCAGAAAAAAAGTTTTAATATATTTATGGTAGGAAATTTACAAAATATCTTCATGGAACATGATCTTTACGTAATATGCTAATGATTTTTGGCATAAAAGAAAAATCAATAATTTTGACCCAAACAATGTATTTTTGTCTATTGCTGCAAATACCCGTGCTACTTATGACTGCTTTTGTGGTCCAGGGTCACATATATGACCCAAAACATCATCAGATTTTCACACAAGTCCTGAAAGTAGACAATGAGAACCCAATCAAACAAATGAGACAAAAATATACACTTGATCCAGAAAAAATGGTCCAGTGTTACTTTCCTGTGAGTGGCAAAAGTGTGTGAACTCTTGTTTCAGTATCTGGCCTGACCCCCTTTTGCAGAAATAACTGCAGCTAAATTGTAACTGCTTATCAGGAATTTCAGCCCATTCCTCAGTACAGAACCGCTTCAGCTTTGTGATGTTGGTGGGTTTCCTCCTATGAACTGCTTGCTTCAGCTCCTTCCACAACATTTCAACTGGAGTAAGATCCAAACTCTGACCCGGCCATTCTGAAGCATTACCTTTGTTCTTCTTTAACCATTCTTTGGTAGAAGGACTTGTGTGCTTGGGGTCGTTGTCTTGCTATATGACCTACCTTCTCTTGAGACTCAGTTCTCGGACAGATGTCCTGACATTTTCCTTTAGAATTTGCTGGTATAATTCAGAATTCATTGTTCCATCAATGAAGGCAAGCTGTCCTGGTCCAGATGCAGCAAAACAGGCCCAAACCACGATACTACCACCACCATGCTTCACAGATGGGATGAGTTTCTTAAGCCATGGTCAGTAGACTTTGAGCATGTGAAATTTTTTCGGACGGTGCTGTGAAAAGGGGCGGGAGCAGGATATGACATCATGCGCCAAAATATCCTCACTAGTCATAATTCTTTTCTATTTAAGTGATAACAATTAGTCACAAGTATAGTTAATCAAGTACACACACGCACACATACAAATCTCATGTAATAGAAAAATCACATAAAATTACACGTTTCACTGTTCAAACGTACCATCCGCTCCTGTTTGCTTTGCCATCGCAAACCAAGCCGCTTCACTTTTTATGTGATTTTTGTAATCTTTTAAAGTTGTTTTGTATAAAACCGGATGATGTGACACTACTAAAATTAGCGTTTCCTCCATTTCTGTACCTAGAGGTCACTTTGTGACGTTTTGATCTTCTATTGGTCTCACGCATTCACGTGACGTGAATTCGCAGGTCAGAGTTCACCAAATTTGAACTTTGCTACGCAGTGAAATGCAAAATATCTTCGCCCGGGCTTGCGTTTCTGGTCTGACACATTTGCATGTGTATGAATGGAAGTCAATTATAACAATTAAATATAACAATTTGTTATATACCAGAAACACAAATCATCTACCAAATCCATCAGTTCTGGTGTACCTCAAGGTTCTGTTTTGGGCCCTCTCCTCTTTATAATTTATATGCTACCAATTGGACCAATAATCAAACGCTATGGGTTTAACTTTCACTGTTATGCAGATGACATTCAAATTTATTTTAGCGCACCTTCCACCTCAGTGTTTCCTTCGCCTGCATTAACAAATTGCATCAAGGAACTCAAGCCTTGGCTGGAGGCAAATTACCTTAAATTTAACTCTGATAAATCAGTAATTCTGATTGGCTCTAAAGCTGTTGTATCTAAGCTCTCTCTCTGGTCAACTGATGGATCTGGATGGTGATCTGATTATGCCCTCCACTAAAGTTCACAATCGTGGTGTTCTCATTGAGTCCACTCTTTCATTCAATGATCACATTGGTAAAGTAGTAAAGACAGCTTTTTTTCCACCTGCGTAATATCTCTCGTATTCGATCCTCTCAGTCAGCAGGATGCTGAAACTGTTACACATGCCTTCGTCACATCTCAACTAGATTACTGTAATTCACTTCTTTATGGCCTGTCAGCTAATAATATCAAATGACTACAATATGTTCAAAACTCTGCAGCTTGCTTGATTACCCACACAAGAAAGAGCGATCACATTACCCCAATCCTCTATCACCTTCACTGACTTCCGTTTTCTTTGCGCATAAACTACACAATACTAATTGTCACTTATAAAGCTCTCCATAACCTCGGTCCTACATATTTATCTGACTTCCTCCTGCCTTATGTTCCTGCTCGCTCCTTACGATCTTCTAGTGAGGGATTGTTAGTCACGTCTTAGGGGGAAGTCGTGGCCTAATGGTTAGATGGTTAGAGAGTCGGACTCGTAACCCAAAGGTACCGGCAGGGATTGTAGGTGAGGGGAGTGAATGTACAGCGCTCTCTCCCACCTTCAATATCACGACTGAGGTGCCCTTGAGCAAGATACCGAACCCCCAACTGCTCCCCGGGCGCCGCAGCATAAATGGCTGCCCACTGCTCCGGGTGTGTGTTCACTGCTGTGTGTGTGCACTTTGGATGGGTTAAATGCAGAGCATTTGGGTCACCCGTCACGTCACTCACTTCGTCTGGTGACTATGGGAGCTAGGGATTTCAGTGTTGTGGCTCCCAGATTGTGGAATGCTCTTCCCCAAGACTTCCGTCAAGCATCCTCCCTTCTCTCCTTCAAAAACCTCTTAAAAACACATTTTATTACACAAGAGTATTACTCTTCAGTTTTTAGTCTGTAATTTGTACCCTGTTATGGATGTTTATCTACATTCTCTCTGTATCTCTTATCTAACTTTGTAAGTGGTCTCTGTATATTACTCTCGGCTCTTGGTATGTATTCTGTCTTCTGGTATTGATGTTAATTTGTTTCTGTTCCTTAAACCTGACTTGTAAAGTGACCTTGGGTGTTGAAAAGGCACTATATAAATTAAAATTATTATTATTAAGTCAATGGAACAAAAAGTCTAGTGTGACTTTACGCTGGAATGCAGTGTTTTCTTTCTCCAAACACAACGCTGCTTATTTGAACCCAAGAAGTTCTATTTTGGTCTCATCGTCCACAAAACGTTTCTCGAATAGTCCTCTGGCTTGTCCACATGATCTTTAGCAAACTGCAGACGGGCAGTGATGCTCTTTTTGGAGAGCAGTGGCTTTCTTCTTGCGACTCTACCATTGGTGTCCATGGTTGCTCGGTGTTCTCCAGATGGTGGACTCATGAACATTAGCCAATGTGAGAAAGGCCTTTAGTTGCTCAGAAGTTACCCTGGGTTTCTTTGCAACCTCGCGGACTATTACAAGTCTTGCTTTTGGAGTGATCTTTGTCTGTCGACCGCTTCTTGGGAGGGTAACAGTAGTCTTGAATCTCCTCCATTTCTACACCATCTCTCTGAATGTGGATCGTTGGAGTCCAAACTCTTTCGAGATGGCTTTGTGAACTTTTCCAGCCTGATGAGCTGGAAAAACAACTCTTTCTAAGATCCTTTGATACACTTCCGCAAACATGATCAGACTTTGATATATCCCTGTTCTCTAAATAAAACCGGGCAGGCACTGACTCCTGATAGTCAAAACACCTCTGAACTGATGGACTCTAACTTCGACTTCAATAATCCTAGAGATTCACACACTTTTGCCGCTCACAGATATGTAATACTGGATCATTTTCCAGAAAAAAATAAATGACAAAGTATGTATTTTTGTCTCATTTGTTTGATTGGATTCTCTTTGTCTGCTTTCAGGACTTGTGTGAAAATCTGATGATCTCTAGGTCATATTTATGTAGAAATATGGAAAATTCTGTAGGGTTCACAGACTTTCAAGCAGCACTGTAGTATACAGAAATCTTTGATCGCTGTAAGACCTGAGCCACAAACCTTCACCGTGTTTGGTGTCTTTCTGCGACTCCTCACAGAGCAAATGATGTGCGTCGTGGATCTGATGATTCATCTGCAGCTCATCATGGTAGTTAATCTGGTTTCGTCCACATGGCTGAATGAGTTTACATTACAATAAGGTCAATAGGTGCATGTTAACTGGAGTTCTTTAAAGCAAGACAGCACAGCTGAAGAGGAAAGATGTTACTGATAGACAAACATCTCCAGACTTCCCCAGCTGTATCTCTTATCTAACTTTGTAAGTGGTCTCTGTATATTACTCTCGGCTCTTGGTATGTATTCTGTCTTCTGGTATTGATGTTAATTTGTTTCTGTTCCTTAAACCTGACTTGTAAAGTGACCTTGGGTGTTGAAAAGGCACTATATAAATTAAAATTATTATTATTAAGTCAATGGAACAAAAAGTCTAGTGTGACTTTACGCTGGAATGCAGTGTTTTCTTTCTCCAAACACAACGCTGCTTATTTGAACCCAAGAAGTTCTATTTTGGTCTCATCGTCCACAAAACGTTTCTCGAATAGTCCTCTGGCTTGTCCACATGATCTTTAGCAAACTGCAGACGGGCAGTGATGCTCTTTTTGGAGAGCAGTGGCTTTCTTCTTGCGACTCTACCATTGGTGTCCATGGTTGCTCGGTGTTCTCCAGATGGTGGACTCATGAACATTAGCCAATGTGAGAAAGGCCTTTAGTTGCTCAGAAGTTACCCTGGGTTTCTTTGCAACCTCGCGGACTATTACAAGTCTTGCTTTTGGAGTGATCTTTGTCTGTCGACCGCTTCTTGGGAGGGTAACAGTAGTCTTGAATCTCCTCCATTTCTACACCATCTCTCTGAATGTGGATCGTTGGAGTCCAAACTCTTTCGAGATGGCTTTGTGAACTTTTCCAGCCTGATGAGCTGGAAAAACAACTCTTTCTAAGATCCTTTGATACACTTCCGCAAACATGATCAGACTTTGATATATCCCTGTTCTCTAAATAAAACCGGGCAGGCACTGACTCCTGATAGTCAAAACACCTCTGAACTGATGGACTCTAACTTCGACTTCAATAATCCTAGAGATTCACACACTTTTGCCGCTCACAGATATGTAATACTGGATCATTTTCCAGAAAAAAATAAATGACAAAGTATGTATTTTTGTCTCATTTGTTTGATTGGATTCTCTTTGTCTGCTTTCAGGACTTGTGTGAAAATCTGATGATCTCTAGGTCATATTTATGTAGAAATATGGAAAATTCTGTAGGGTTCACAGACTTTCAAGCAGCACTGTAGTATACAGAAATCTTTGATCGCTGTAAGACCTGAGCCACAAACCTTCACCGTGTTTGGTGTCTTTCTGCGACTCCTCACAGAGCAAATGATGTGCGTCGTGGATCTGATGATTCATCTGCAGCTCATCATGGTAGTTAATCTGGTTTCGTCCACATGGCTGAATGAGTTTACATTACAATAAGGTCAATAGGTGCATGTTAACTGGAGTTCTTTAAAGCAAGACAGCACAGCTGAAGAGGAAAGATGTTACTGATAGACAAACATCTCCAGACTTCCCCAGCTGATTAATGTTTACATATGCAAATGAGGTATTATCTAATTTAATATATGCTAATTTGCATATATTTCCTGAACATAAATATGAACACTGGATAAAGCCAGGTTCATAATTCCTGTTTGATTTTGTTGACACATTAAAGGTTTTTCCAGAGGGGATTTCTCTTTTTATCACTCCATAAACCAGACAATACTGTCAACGGATAGAAAACAAACACATTTTCACCATGTTTTCAGGAATAAAATGTAAAAATCAGTGTGAATGAAATACGAACACACTTCTCCGTAAAAGCCTTCAGAATATAGAGAGGAAAAGTTTGGCGTGCGTAAGTGTTTCCGAACAGGAGAAACAAACTCACCGCCTTTAAAGATATGGATTGAAACTGAACTCTACAGATGCAAATAGATAAAGTGCAACCTTTATTTGTGCAGCGCTTTATACAATAGTGGCTGTGTCAAAGCAGCTTTACAGTGTTAATTAAACAGGAAAACAGTTTGTCAGTGATGCAAGAAGACAATAACACAGTCATTTTCCAGCTAAAGTCAGTTCATTGATGATTCAGAGATCCAGTTCAGCTCTCTTCAATAGTGTCTGTGCAGTCAGTCAAACGTCCCCAACTAAGCAAGCCAAATCATGTAAATGCTTGCAATCGTGTGTTTCCAAAAACATGCTTTTGCCTGTTCCGTCTTGCTTTAATATGGACCGATACAACTTTTGAATGTAACAGTTAGGATGCTTCATAAGTATTTTGCGTGGTTAGTTCATGTCGAGAGGCAGGGCCTCGCAGCGTGTCGTGTCGTGCTCACACTCTTTGCTCTTTGCAGCGGCGACGTTCCTCGGCGGAGCTCTGCTGGTGTGTGTGTCCATCTACCTGTACGGACTGCCCAAACAAGACACCAGCAGAGTGCAGAAGCCCAGCACAGACGGAGAGGACACGCAGAAACTCATCACAGTCTGATGCGACGCATCTGCTGCTGGACATGAACGGACTACACTACAGCAGGAGCGAGGATAGGTGTTTGGAGTGAAGGAGGGTGGCAGTGGGCTGTGGGAAGGACTGGAACACTTTGGTTTTATGTTGTTTTTCTCTCTGTATAATTTCATTTATAGGTCTTGATGCAGATATACTGATGCCACAACACTACACTGAATGTACTAGGGCTGTCAAAAAAATAAATAAATCGAATTTTGAATATTCGTCGAATTTAAAATAAAAATCCGCATTTGGTTTGAATTTTAGGAAAAGAGAACATCAATGCGGAGAAGATCTTGTTTACGTCAAAACTGAGGCCAAGCCGTTCACACTGAACGCATATTAATCGCATTTTCTAGAGGGACATCTATCACCGCTGCACTCACGTCTCGCACAAAGGAGCCGCATGTTTAGAAAGCCATGTAAAATTAATGTAAGTTCAACTTTGAAAAAAACCTATATCGAGACTTTATGGCAGGTTTTTTTCTCCATCCCACTGCATCTCATGTTTTTAAATGAAAAATGTACTCTGTGTGATTGGCTTTCCGCCCTTTGTATTAAACTATGCATACATACATGTTGCTGTTTTGTTTATAGTTATTTAAGCAACTTAAATATAATTGGTTTATAAAATTATGCACTTTTTCCACAGCTAGTCACGTTAGCTTACGCTTTGAATAAACGTGCATTAGTAATATTTTGCTCGATGTGCCCTCTTGTGGCCTCAGGAGAGAAGCCAAAAGCTATTCTTCACTCTAAACGAAATTATGCATTTTAAATTAGAATATAATTCGAATTTTGATCATATTTAAGTACAAAATTTGAATGTAGTTTTTTGACAGCACTAGAATGTACATGTGCACTTCAGACAGGTTTGGGTTTTGATCGCCAATGTTGTTTGTTCAAGCGTTCTTAAATATTGACACAAGCTGAACGTAAGGGCCTTACGGGTTTGGATAGCCGACTGGTTTTAATTGCAGAGTAAATGTTGAATCCTGTGTTTAGGGGACGCCTCTTGATCCGGGACAGGCTCTGTATGGATTTATGAGGCAGAGCTTAAATGTGCTCGATTAAACGTGACACGGACACACTGCTAGTCCTGGACTACAGCGGGTCTGTTTACATGAATCAGTCCCAATCAATCCAACTCCTCTTCATATATAAAAGCATATTTGTTTACATGTGCATTACATGTATTCCACACAAAACTTTATTTGATGCGTTTAGAAATGGAGAAAGACCGGAGCTGCTGACAGCAGACTTGATGCCACATTTCAAAATCCAAAAATGTCAAAAACTTCAAATATGTAGAAAATATTCAGGTTTCATCTTGTCCACCGACTGGTTCATAATATGTGACCCTGGACCACAGAACCATCATAAGGGTCAATTCTTCAAAGCTGAATAAATAATCTTTCCATTGATGTATGGTTTGTTAGGATCGGACAATATTTGGTTGAGATACAACTATTTGAAAATCTGGAATCTGAGGGTGCAAAAAAATCTAAATATTGAGAAAATCATCTTTAAAGTTGTTCAAATGAAGTTCTTAGCAATGCATATTACTAATCAAACATTAAGTTTTGATATTTACAGTAGGACATTTACAAAATATCTTCATGGAACATGATCTTTACTTAATATCCTAATGATTTTTGGCATAAAAGAGAAATGTATAATTGTGACCCATACAATGTATTGTTGGCTATTGCTACAAATATCCCCCAGCGACTCAACACTGCTTTTGTGCTCCAGGGTCACAAATATCTAAAACTACCAGATAATATAAATGATTGTTGTGATCAGCAGTGTTTAAGTGGCACAGAAACAATAAAAGTGGCGGCATTACACTTGAACCCTAAACAGAACTGATATTGGTTTGAATTTTAGGAAAAGAGAACATCAATGCGGAGAAGATCTTGTTTACGTCAAAACTGAGGCCAAGCCGTTCACACTGAACGCATATTAATCGCATTTTCTAGAGGGACATCTATCACCGCTGCACTCACGTCTCGCACAAAGGAGCCGCATGTTTAGAAAGCCATGTAAAATTAATGTAAGTTCAACTTTGAAAAAAACCTATATCGAGACTTTATGGCAGGTTTTTTTTTCCATCCCACTGCATCTCATGTTTTTAAATGAAAAATGTACTCTGTGTGATTGGCTTTCCGCCCTTTGTATTAAACTATGCATACATACATGTTGCTGTTTTGTTTATCTTTATTTAAGCAACTTAAATATAATTGGTTTATAAAATTATGCACTTTTTCCACAGCTAGTCACGTTAGCTTACGCTTTGAATAAACGTGCATTAGTAATATTTTGCTCGATGTGCCCTCTTGTGGCCTCAGGAGAGAAGCCAAAAGCTATTCTTCACTCTAAACGAAATTATGCATTTTAAATTAGAATATAATTCGAATTTTGATCATATTTAAGTACAAAATTTGAATGTAGTTTTTTGACAGCACTAGAATGTACATGTGCACTTCAGACAGGTTTGGGTTTTGATCGCCAATGTTGTTTGTTCAAGCGTTCTTAAATATTGACACAAGCTGAACGTAAGGGCCTTACGGGTTTGGATAGCCGACTGGTTTTAATTGCAGAGTAAATGTTGAATCCTGTGTTTAGGGGACGCCTCTTGATCCGGGACAGGCTCTGTATGGATTTATGAGGCAGAGCTTAAATGTGCTCGATTAAACGTGACACGGACACACTGCTAGTCCTGGACTACAGCGGGTCTGTTTACATGAATCAGTCCCAATCAATCCAACTCCTCTTCATATATAAAAGCATATTTGTTTACATGTGCATTACATGTATTCCACACAAAACTTTATTTGATGCGTTTAGAAATGGAGAAAGACCGGAGCTGCTGACAGCAGACTTGATGCCACATTTCAAAATCCAAAAATGTCAAAAACTTCAAATATGTAGAAAATATTCAGGTTTCATCTTGTCCACCGACTGGTTCATAATATGTGACCCTGGACCACAGAACCATCATAAGGGTCAATTCTTCAAAGCTGAATAAATAATCTTTCCATTGATGTATGGTTTGTTAGGATCGGACAATATTTGGTTGAGATACAACTATTTGAAAATCTGGAATCTGAGGGTGCAAAAAAATCTAAATATTGAGAAAATCATCTTTAAAGTTGTTCAAATGACGTTCTTAGCAATGCATATTACTAATCAAACATTAAGTTTTGATATTTACAGTAGGACATTTACAAAATATCTTCATGGAACATGATCTTTACTTAATATCCTAATGATTTTTGGCATAAAAGAGAAATGTATAATTGTGACCCATACAATGTATTGTTGGCTATTGCTACAAATATCCCCCAGAGACTTAAGAATGCTTTTGTGCTCCAGGGACACAGATGTGCATAAACCCACATCACAGCACTGCAGTTACTTTCTATCCAGCTGAGAGAAAGTCAGAATCGTGGCTCCAGATGATCTCCACCACCCCTTTACTCAGATGGAGCACATTCAGAGCGACTGAGGCGTTTACATGAAGGCTCTGCAGTCTGAATGATCCGTCTGTTACTGGATGATGTGGCTGCATGTAAATGTAGCTGCTGTCGCAGGTCCAAGCCGTCCAGTGCTGATACTGAAGGCTAGCAGCACTACAACACACTTCTCTAGCGGACACATCTCGCTCAGTGTGGCCTCATTCGCAAGTCATTTAAAGATGCTCAGTAAATACATAAAACGTGATGAAGTGTGCTTTACCAGGAAACGAGCAGACACAAAGGGAAAATACTTTTATTTAGCGATTAACAAACAGAAAGTCACATTTTCTCCACCGGCGTGATACCCAGAATCCTCATGCCGTTGGCCAGAACGGAGCGGACGGCGCTGAACAGACACAGTCGGGCCTGAGGACAAGCATGACAGCACAAGCACATCAGGGCAATAACAGTGGCCTGAATCGCAGCGCACAACGAATGCATGCGATCTGAAACCGGCCTTGATTAAAACGAACATTAAAGGTGTGTTTACCTGAGCCACGGCCGCTGAACTCCCCTTCACGGGCAGCTCTCGATGAGCCGAGGCCGCCAGGTGACTGAAAACACAGGAAAACCTCGTCAGAACAGACGTTCAGGCCACAAACTCCCAACGAGCGCTGGACAGTTCAGCCCAGTTGCATTCAGTATGGAAACATCTACATGAATCCAGATCTACGTTTGAAAACGTTTCGTTTGGCATCCTGGCCTGTGGAGGTTATAGAGGTTATCTGAAAACGATGACGGTTGGTCCTGTGACACATATTGTATGTTTATACCTGTGCCTGTACTGTTCACGTTCACAATGTTTCTACAGATAAATGTTGCTTCGTAGAAGCTTCATATTACATTTTTGAAAAAATTGACTGCTCTTCTGCGGCAAAAGATGATAAACTAAATAATAAACCATTTGGCGAGTGCCATATGACCAGAAAGATCATATTCGATGCGCATGAACATCAAAAGTCATCATTAGAAGTGGGAAACTGCGTTTTAATTTTTCAGATTTTTTTGGGGGGTGTGTCAATGAGAAAAATATGTCAGATGCAGTAAATGCAGCATCTGTATTAATGGTACATGTTAAAATTAATGATTTTTTTCAGATTTATAATAAAATTATTTCAACAAGCACCAATGTGCATTCTCTGTTCATCATTTTGTAGATGTCGAGTTTAAAAAATGAGTTGAATCTAGTGTAGAAAAGGAATATTTCCATCTTGCTCTGACGAATGTTGCCATTATTATTGCCCAAGCAGCCAGATCCATGTCTCCGTCTCTCTCACACACACACTCTCTCACACTCTCTCTCTCTCTCTCTCTCACACACACTCTCTCTCTCACAC